GGTGACCTTACCCTCCGTGTATGGTGACCTTGTCCTCCGTGTATGGTGACCTTGTCCTCCGTGTATGGTGACCTTGTCCTCCGTGTATGGTGACCTTACTGGTCCGTGTATGGTGACCTTACCCTCCGTGTATAGTGACCTGTCCTCCGTGTATAGTGACCTTGCCCTACGTGTATAGTGACCTTGCCCTCCGTGTATGGTGACCTTGTCCTCCGTGTATGGTGACCTTACCCTCCGTGTATAGTGACCTTGCCCTCCGTGTATAGTGACCTTGTCCTCCGTGTATGGTGGACCTTACCCTCCGTGTATGGTGACCTTACCCTCCGTGTATAGTGACCTTGTCCTCCGTGTATAGGTGACCTTGTCATCCGTGTATGGTGACCTTACCCTCCGTGTATGGTGACCTTGGCCTCCGTGTATGGTGACCTACCCTCCGTGTATAGTGACCTTGTCCTCCGTGTATGGTGACCTTACCCTCCGTGTATAGTGACCTTGTCCTCCGTGTATGGTGACCTTACCCTCCCGTGTATAGTGACCTTACCCTCCGTGTATGGTGACCTTGTCCTCTGGGTGCTATTAGTGACCTTAACCCTCCGTGTATAGTGACCTTGCCCTTCCGTGTATAGTGACCTTGTCCTCCGTGGTATAGTGACCTGTTGATCCGTGTATGGTGACCTTGTGGACAGTGTATAGTGACCTTACCCTCCGTGTATAGTGACCTGGTCCTCCGTGTATAGTGACCTTACCCTCCGTGTATGGTGACCTTACTGGTCCGTGTATGGTGACCTTGTCCTCCGTTATAGTGACCTTACCCTCCGTGTATGGTGACCTTACCCTCCGTGTATAGTGACCTTACCCTCCGTGTATGGTGACCTTACCCTCCGTGTATGGTGACCTTGTCCTCCGTGTATGGTGACCTTACCCTCCGTGTATGGTGACCTTACCCTCCGTGTATGGTGACCTTACCCTCCCGTGTATGGTGACCTTGTCCTCCGTGTATGGTGACCTTACCCTCCGTGTATAGTGACCTTACCCTCCGTGTATGGTGACCTTACCCTCCGTGTATGGTGACCTTGTCCTCCGTGTATGGTGACCTACCCTCCGTGTATGGTGACCTTACCCTCCGTGTATGGTGACCTTGTCCTCCGTGTATGGTGACCTACCCTCCGTGTATGGTGACCTTACCCTCCGTGTATGGTGACCTTACCCTCCGTGTATGGTGACCTTACCCTCCGTGTATGGTGGACCTTACCCTCCGTGTATGGTGACCTTGTCCTTCGTGTATGGTGACCTTACCCTCCGTGTATGGTGAACTGTCATCCCGTGTATGGTGACCTACCCTCCGTGTATGGTGACCTTGTCCTCCGTGTATGGTGACCTTGTCCTCCGTGTATGGTGACCTTACCCTCCGTGTATGGTGACCTTACCCTCCGTGTATGGTGACCTTGTCCTCCGTGTATGGTGACCTTGTCCTCCGTGTATGGTGACCTTACCCTCCGTGTATGGTGACCTTACCCTCCGTGTATGGTGACCTTACCCTCCGTGTATGGTGACCTGTCCTCCGTGTATGGTGGACCTTACCCTCCGTGTATGGTGACCTTGTCCTCCGTGTATAGTGACCTTACCCTCCGTGTATGGTGACCTTACCCTCCGTGTATGGTGACCTTGTCCTCCGTGTATGGTGACCTTGTCCTCCGTGTATGGTGACCTTGTCCTCCGTGTATGGTGACCTTACCCTCCGTGTATGGTGACCTTACCCTCCGTGTATGGTGACCTTGTCCTCCGTGTATGGTGACCTTACCCTCCGTGTATGGTGACCTTGTCCTCCGTGTATGGTGACCTTACCCTCCGTGTATGGTGACCTTGTCCTCCGTGTATGGTGACCTTGTCCTCCGTGTATGGTGACCTTACCCTCCGTGTATGGTGACCTTGTCCTCCGTGTATGGTGACCTTGTCCTCCTTGTATGGTGACCTTACCCTCCGTGTATGGTGGACCTTACCCTCCGTTGGTATGGTGACCTTGTCCTCCGTGTATAGTGACCTTGTCCTCCTTGTATGGTGACCTTGTCCTCCGTGTATGGTGACCTTGTCCTCCGTGTATGGTGACCTTGTCCTCCTTGTATGGTGACCTGTTGACCCTGGCTGACCTCTACCCCTAGTGACCTCCTCTTCGTCCCTCTCTCCCTGGCTCTTTCCCCTCACTCTCTCTCTCTCGAGGTGGGGGTGTTTGGGGGTGAGGATACATGGGTGGGGAATTGGGGGGGGGGCGGGGAGTGTATAAATGTATGGGGGGGAAGAAACAAAGTATGAATGTATGAGGAGGAAGAGGGAGAGAGCAGAAGAAAAGGAGAAATGTGACGGTTAAAAGGAACGAGATGGAGAAAGATGTGAGAAGAGGGGAGAGAGGGGAAGGGGGATTGAGAAGGGTGAGAAGTGAGGGGAAGTGTGAGAGAGGGTGAAGGGAGAGTGACAAGAAGAGAGGAGGCAGGAAGAGTGTGAG